TTTGCTGATGACACTGTGCTCTTGGGAGATTCTGAAGAGAAGCTGCAGAGATTGGTGGATGAATTTGGTAGGGTGTGCAAAAGAAGAAAATTAAAGGTGAATACAGGAAAGAGTAAGGTTATGAGGATAACAAAAAGATTAGGTGATGAAAGATTGAATATCAGATTTGGAGGGAGAGAGTATGGAGGAGGTGAACGTATTCAGATATTTGGGAGTGGACGTGTCAGCGGATGGGTCTATGAAAGATGAGGTGAATCATAGAATTGATGAGGGAAAAAGAGTGAGTGGTGCACTTAGGAGTCTGTGGAGACAGAGAACTTTGTCCTTGGAGGCAAAGAGGGGAATGTATGAGAGTATAGTTTTACCAACGCTCTTATATGGGTGTGAAGCATGGGTGATTGAATGTTGCAGCGAGGAGAAGGCTGGAGGCAGTGGAGATGTCATGTCTGAGGGCAATGTGTGGTGTGAATATAATGCAGAGAATTCGTAGTTTGGAAGTTAGGAGGAGGTGCGGGATTACCAAAACTGTTGTCCAGAGGGCTGAGGAAGGGTTGTTGAGGTGGTTCGGACATGTAGAGAGAATGGAGCGAAACAGAATAACTTCAAGAGTGTATCATCTGTAGTGGAAGGAAGGGCGGTAGGGGTCGGCCTAGGAAGGGTTGGAGGGAGGGGGTAAAGGAGGTTTTGTGTGCGAGGGGCTTGGACTTCCAGCGGCATGCGTGAGCGTGTTTGATAGGAGTGAATGGAGACAAATGTTTTTAATACTTGACGTGCTGTTGGAGTGTGAGCAAAGTAACATTTATGAAGGGATTCAGGGAAACCGGCAGCCGGACTTGAGTCCTGGAGATGGGAAGTACAGTGCCTGCACTCTGAAGGAGGGGTGTTAATGTTGCAGTTTTAAAAACTGTAGTGTAAAGCACCCTTCTGGCAAGACAGTGATGGAGTGAATGATGGTGAAAGTTTTTCTTTTTCGGGCCACCCTGCCTTGGTGGGAATCGGCCAGTGTGATAATAAAAAAAAAAAAAAAAAAAAAAAAAAAAAAAAAAAAAAAAAATATATAATATATATATATTAATATATATATATATATATATATATATATATATATATATATATATATATATATATATATATATATGCAAGGAATTCGCGAGAGCAGGCGAAATATATATAAACACTGATCTCTGGCTGAAGGAGACTCGAACCTACGAAGCTTGCAACAAGGTACGCAGTGCTTTACCAATCTACCCACACTGGACCAATACCTTGGAGTCCAGCTTGTGCTAGACTTTGATCCAAGGCAGCCAGCTTTTAGGGAGAAGGCTTACAGCTTTTCATCTCATCCTCTGCATGCATCAGCCTTACTAGAGATATTAACAATGCAAGGAATTCGCAAGAGCAGGCGAAATATACACAAACGCTGATCTCTGGCTGAAGGAGACTCGAACCTACGAACCTTGGAACAAAGTACGCAGTGCTCTACCAATCTACCCACAATCTATATCCTATGTAGTAGGTTGGTAGACAGCAACCTGGGTGGTTGCTGTCTACCAACCTACTACATAGGATATATATAATATATATAATTTAATATATATTTTTAGGTAGTAGGGTTGGTAGACAGCAAACCCCCCCAGGGGGGTACTACCCTCCCTGCCCGATGACTGTGAAAAAAAAACCCGTAACTGTTTTTAAAGATGGGGGATTTCTGGGGTTTCTTTTTCTGTCTCTAAAAAACGCTAAGATAACAGGGATTCTTGCTCTCCTACTTCACTTTTGGGCAACGTTTCACTGTTTGGGGTTTAGTTTGATAAAGTTCTCATAGAGAGCTTAATCAAGCCACTTCTGTCTTCCCTTCACATCAATACTAATTGTAAAAGAGACAACGAGTGAGCAGACTGTAGTCTATAGAACAGTGGCTCTCAACTCGTTTCGGCCCATGAACCACCAACTCAATTATAAAAAATATCGTGAGATAAGATAAGATTTCGTTCGGATTTTTAACCCCGGAGGGTTAGCCACCCAGGATAACCCCAAGAAAGTCAGTGCGTCATCGAGGACTGTCTAACTTATTTCCATTGGGGTCCTTAATCTTGTCCCCCAGGATGCGACCCACACCAGTCGACTAACACCCAGGTACCTATTTGCTGCTAGGTGAACAGGACAACAGGTGTAAGGAAACGTGTCGAATGTTTCCACCCGCCGGGAATCGAACCCGGGCCCTCCGTGTGTGAAGCGGGAGCTTTAGCCACCAGGCCACCGGGCCATCGTGGACCATTTCATTTTTTGAGTAATGATATTAAGGCAAAGAAGAGATTTGGAATATATTTCTTATAAACAGAAATTCGAGAAGTTATATAAAATAATAGATATCTAACATTTTGGTCTGAAATATATTTCATACAAACATAATTTCCTGGAAATAAATGAATACACATCTAATATTTTGCTGTGAATTTTCTTTCCAGCGAACATAATTTCGAAATTATGAAGTATACAGCCAACATTTTTCTTTGAAATATAATTATTTCACTTTTCCTTGCAACCAGATTTTTGGATTCTTATCTCAATGACAAGCTTTTCAATGTTAGGAGTGGTACTTGATAATGCACAACGAATACTGCTTTCTACTGCATGCCGATTCCTCGGTTTGGACTTAATGTGCAACAAACATGAAATTCCACTCTCACACATATAAGCTGATGCAAATGGGAAAAGAAATCTGACTGCATGTGTTGACAGATTTGGGTAATAATCGTATTGGCCCAAAATTTTTCCATCTATAGCTGCCAAATCATTTTTCAGGTCCAAGAACTCCTCCTGTATAGCCTCTGGAACACCATGAACATCTGTTACGAATGGATTCCTGATGAAAGAAAACCCATCCCTTGTTATGTCCACCTCTGGAAAGTATCGCTGAACTTCATCCCGCAGCTTCTGTAAATGCTCGAGAATATGCACCTAAATAGCTTACTTTTCCCCTAGCATGGCATCCACACATGGAAATTGAACTAAATTTTTACTTTCGACTCTTCCGATCCAGAGTTCTAATTTCTCGAGAAAAGCCTTGATGAGTGAACAGATTTGCTCCTTTCCGTTGCAGCTGATGATTCAGTTTGTTCAAGATACCAAAAATAACGACAAGGTATGCTAGTTCTAATTGTGACAGAACTAGCATATTTGTAAAACCTTCTTTCCCTTGAAACTGGATAAATAGAATCAATTTTTCTTTCAGTTCAAAATTTCTGTTGACTACATTCCCTGCTGACAACCACCGTACAGAAGTGTAGAACAGCAACACTTCAAAGTCAGAACCCATGTCCTGGCATAATTTTCTGAACAGTCTGGTGTTCACTGCTGACGATTTGATGTAATTAACCACCTTCACCAATCATTTGAAAATGGTGTTCAGGTGATCAGGTAATGTTTTTGATGCCAGTGTCTCTCTGTGAACGAAACAGTGAACTCCGGTTACCAAAGGAGCACGCTGTTTCACCAACGCTTTTCAATGTTATGTGCACCTGTGATACTTGAGTCTAGCATCGCAGGTGCACCATCAGTGGTAACATTCACCAAATCTACCCAATCCAGACCATTTACTTCAAAGAAATTGTTAATAATTTCTAACACATTCTGAGCCCTTGTGGTGGTGTCAAGAGTCTTACAAAAGAGAAACATTTTATAGTAGAAAACTAACTCAGTTTCCACCACACTTGTAAAACAGTGCAGGACGAAAGACGCAATTAATCAGCTCAGAAGTTCAGTGTCTACTGCACTGAACAACAGAATTGTGTGCAGCCGCACGGCAGCTGGCATGAATCGAGCAGGAATGGCTCACGCTATAATGTGCGCACACCCACACACACACGACCTCACAAACCAACTGCCTCAACATGCAAGGTTCACATGATATCGCTTCCGCAGTTTGACTGTCGCTGCAGATAACATGGGCAAATTCATTCATTATCAGACCACCCTCTTTCACGCTGGTCAATGCGTATATCGCTGATCCACGCTTTATTTTCGATAAATTTAAGACTATGTGCACCAATCTTCAGTTTATTGCTAAATATAGTGAACGTTATGTAGCCCACCCAAAAGGTCACGATGGACCACCAGTTGAGAACCAGTGTATAGACCGTCTAAGCCAAGGGTCCTCAACCTTATCGCCACCAAAACCTTATCACCACCTCTAAGAACCACCTTTCACTTCTGGTCAGTGCAGGTTCATTCTAGTAGCACATGTCGCACGTGTTAAATGTGTTCAAGTCATGGATTTGGTTAAGACTTATTGATAAATATTTGCACCATATTTTAAGACTGCGGGTAACAAGCACTGAATTTGATGTCATTGCTATTGCTAGGGTTCCGCAGCCTCGTATATCAGTGTTTTTTAGAAGTGGTGAGCTGATTTTGATTCGCTCTTTCAGTTAATGAGAATAATAAATATTATTGTTATTAAAACGTGGATTACGTTAATTGCTACGTTACTTCGGCTTGTGTTTCAAGGCGCAGCCCTCATCACACATTTGACGATTAAATGTGGCCCACTTGTGTAGGAAGGTTGAGGACCACTGCTTTAAGCCTTGATGCTGGTGAAGGGCTCTTGATCAGAAAATTGGTTCTGTCCTCCACTTCCCCGAATCAAACCTGATATCACCTAACGAACATACCACGACATAAATATAAAAATAATAATCTTGTGTAAATTACATTGAAAGAACAATTGCAATAATGTCCTATCAACCTGAGCTACACCCAAGCACCAATGGCTGGTAATTTGAAAATAATTAATGTACATCTTATTTTAGAAGCAATATTATTCGAAGTCACAACAAATTTTGAAGAAATTTCATTTTTGTTTGATATTTAAGGAGAAATTAGTAAATAAAGTTAACCCTGAAGACTGCTCTAAAGGCAAATCATATTAGGACTACAGTGAGCAGCAGAAAAACAATTATAGTCGTCCAAAGATTATTACTAACAATAAAAAAAAAAATAACTCAAGTCTCGTGTCAAATTACTGCAGACTGTAGTGTATATTTTTTTTCACTTACCAATTCATTCAACACTGGAAGTAATATAGAAGCTGTAGCGCTGTTTGAGGCCACTTCTGTCAGCATGGCTGTCGAGAACGTAACGATCATAACAATGTAAACTCCATCAAAATTTTTTAGATATCTGAGTGACTCTCCCAACCATTCTGAAAGACCCGACTTCTTAGCTCCTTCCGCCATAGCAAAGCCACCACCCAACAGCAGGACTACACCCCAGGGGATCTTCTCCTGAACAACCTTCCATGACAGGCAAGAATTATTGTTCACACGCTCTGGCTCAGGATCTGTGGAGGTATAGTGTATGCAAAATATAGAAATATACAAAAAGTTAAATATGAGAATTATTAGAAGCCCTTCACCAAAACTTTCAAAAAGACTTCATTGTATATGAATGAAATTCGTCTTTCAGAAATGACATAAAAGTTCAGAATTCCTTAAACTGTACTTATATTAGAGGCAGTAAGATGATAATGTATATAAAGTCGTCGAACTAAAATCTGCAGTACATACCACCAGGTTTCCTGAAACACCAGAAGTCAAGTTTGGCTGGCAGGGCAAACAACAGAAACACTATTAACATTGCTGGTGTTGCATCATCCACATCCCTGCAATAATACTCCACTTAATCATATAATACAGTACATTGTGGTTAACACACGCAAGAATAAGCATTTTACCTCAGCCAACTCACAATTCAAACACAGTACTGCGAGTTCCAATTCTCACCACAGATGAATTAAAATGTTCGCATTTCGTCCATTTCTGCGAAGTTATGCTATACAAGAATGTGTGTATGTTAGTTAATTAGTTACAGTTTTGTCCAAGGCACATGTCGATTAGACACTAGGCCTGTTTGTGTGTGTGTGTGTGTGTGTGTGTGTATACTCACCTAATTGTGGTTGCAGGGGTCGAGACTCAGCTCCTAGCCCCGCCTCTTCACTGATCGCTACTAGGTCCTCTCTCTCTGCTTCCTGAGCTTTGTCATACCTCGTCTTAAAGCTATGTATGGTTCCTGCCTCCACTACATCACTTGCTAGGCTATTCCGCTTCCTGACGACTCTGTGACTGAAGAAGTGCTTCCTAACATCCCTGTGACTCGTCTGAGTCTTCAGCTTCCAATTGTAACCCCTTGTTTCTGTGTTCCCTCTCTGGAACATCCTGTCTCTGTCCACCTTGTCTATTCCACGCAGTATTTTGTATGTTGTTATCATGTCTCCCACGACCCTCCTGTCCTCCAGTGTCGTCAGTCCGATTTCCCTCAACTTTCTTCGTAGGACATTCCCCTGAGCTCCGGAACTAGCTTTGTTGCAAACATAGGTACTTTCTCTAATTTCTTGACGTGCTTGACCAGGTGTGGGTTCCAAACTGATGCTGCATACTCCAGTATGGGCCTGACGTACACAGTGTACAGTGTCTTGAACGATTCCTTACTAAGGTATCGGAACGCTATTTTCAGGTTTGCCAGGCGCCCAGATGCTGCAGCAGTTATCTGGTTAATGTGTGCTTCCGGAGACGTGCTCGGTGTTATGGTCACCCCAAGATCTTTCTCCTTGAGTGAGGTTTGCAGCCTTTGTCCACCTAGCATATACTCTGTCTGCAGTCTTCTTTGCCCTTCCCCAATCTTCATGACTTTGCATTTGGCAAGGTTGAAATCGAGAAACCAGGTGCTGGACCACGTATCCAGCCTATTCAGGTCTCTTTGTAGTCCTGCCTGATCCTCATCCGATTTAATCCTTCTCATTAGCTTCACATCATCTGCGAACAGGGACACTTCAGAGTCTATCCCTTCCGATAAGTTATTCACATATGTATATAAAAAATAGCACTGGTCCTAGGACTGACCCCTGTGGGACCCCACTCGTCACAGGAGCCCACTGTGATACCTCATCACGTGTGTATGTGTTTGTTGTGTTTGTGTGTGTGTGTGTGTGTGTGTGGTGTGTGTGTTGTGTGTGTGTGGTGTGTGTGTGTGTGTGTGTGTGGTTGTGTGTGTGTGTGTGTGTGTCTGTACTTCTTCCACTTCTGTGCACTTGGTTTTGGCCTCTCACCCTTTGGTGAGCAAGGGCTCGTCCTGACATCATTATTTCTGTTTGCCGTGGGCATAACCTTCCCTCTGCTTCTTTGCTATTTTGCCACATATCATCATCTCATTTACTGATTTTCCTGCCCATTCTCTTTCCTACTGCCACTTCATGTAAAAAGTGCCTCATGCCTGTATAGTCACCTCTTTTGTAGTCTGGCTTCATTAGTCAGCCCTCCATGCTTTCCTCTCCAATTGTAAACTTACTATGTATTCGAAGCTTGGCGTGAACTCAGAGGGCCCATTGTGGTCCTCAATGAACTACTATGGAATCAGCTAGCTGTGGAGTCTCTCTTGGTAGTGTCGTTAATGTATTGATGCATGAGGTTTTCTAGTATACCTCCATTATTTTAGCCCTTCACGTTTCTGGGCCCCCGTGTGGCTCCAGCTTTTCCCAATCAGTTTTCTTTGAAGTCACCCACAACCTGCCCTGCCCACATGGGCCCTTCTGGCCACTACAGCCAGTGTGTCAACCATCTCTCTGTTATTCTCATCATATTCTTGTCTTGGCCTCCTGCTTTTCTGTGGTGGGTTATACATCACTCCAATTACCACCTTGGGACCCCAGTCAGAAGTGTTCCTAATATGCAGTCCCTTGCTGCGCGGGCGCGCGTGTATGTGTGTGTGTGTACTCACCTAATTGTGGTTGCAGGGGTCGATACTCAGCTCCTGGTCCCCGCCTCTTCACTGACCGCTACTGGGTCTTCCCTCTCCCTGCTCCATGAGCTTTATCATACCCCGTCTTAAAACTATGTATGGTTCCTGCTTGCCAGACTATGTCACTTCCTAACAACTCTGTGGCTGAAGAAATATTTCCTAACATCCCTTTGACTCATCTGAGTCTTCAGCTTCCAATTGTGACCCCTTGTTTCTGTGTCCCATCTCTGGAACATCCTGTCTCTGTCCATTGTGTGTGTGTGTGTGTGTGTGTGTGTGTTGTGTGTGTGTGTTGTGTGTGTGTGTGTGTGTGTGTGTGTGTGTGTGTGTAAACATCTCAATATTTAGTCACAGATGTTATATACATCGCGTGGTCAATCAGGTTAAGCGCCTGTGTGCTAGGCTAATAACCGGATAAACAACCACACGAACACAACTTTGACGAAACAAACAGAATGTACCACACCGTATGTCACTTAGCAAATTTAATCCTGTAATACTACTATAACAGTATTTAAAAAAAATATATGAAACACAGAAGAGACTGTTATTAACTTACACCCCAAACTTGTCCTCAAACAACTTGGACCAACCAGGAATGAACTCAGGTGCTCGGAAGAGCCACAACAACACAAGTATAATGAAAAGTGTCAACACCACAATTTCTTGAAAGGTGATCCAGCCCAGTTCTTGGTATTTGGACAATATCAGTTGCTTCACAGCTTTCTCTCGCTCTGCAGATGGATTCCGAATCAGTTTTCTCTGGCCGCTGGAAAAAAAAATATTGTTTCGATTATGAATTAAAGATAATTAAGAATGTCACTCTGTGAACACGGAATTTGTGTTCCATTAAGATATTAATATATCAGGCTGTTAACTTTTTTACTTTAAATGCTTAAGCTAGTCACTATACATATGCTATTTAGGCTAAGTTAGGTTAGGTTAGACTAGGTTAGGTTAGGTTAGGTTAGGTTAGGTTAGACTAGGTTAGGTTAGGTTAGGTTAGGTTAGGTTAGGTTAGTTAGGTTAGGTTAGGTTAGGCTAGGTTAGGTTAGGTTAGGTTAGGCTAGGTTAGGTTAGGTTAGGCTAGATTAGGTTAGGTTAGGTAGGTTAGGTTAGGTTGGGTTAGGCTAGGTAGGTTTTGGCTAGGTAGGTTAGGTTAGTTAGCTAGATTAGGTTAGGTTAGGTTTAGGGTTTGGGAGGTTAGATTAGGTTACGTTAGGTTAGGTTAGGCTAGGTTAGCCTAGGTTAGGTTAGGTTAGGCTAAGTTAGGTTAGGTTTGGTAAGGTTAGGTAGGTTAGGCTAGGTTAGCCTAGGTTAGGTTAGGTTAGGCTAGATTAGGTTAGGTTAGGTAGGTTAGGTTAGGTTAGGTTAGGTTTGGTTAGGTTAGGTAGGTTAGGCTAGGTTAGGTAAGGTTAGGTTAGGGTTAGGTTAGGTTATGTTAGGTTGGTTAGGTTAGGCTAGATTAGGTAGGTTAGGTTAGGTTAGGTTAGGTTTTGGTTAGGGTTTGGTAGGTTAGCCTAGGTTAGTAGGTTAGGTTAGGTTAGGTTAGGCTAGATTAGGTTAGGTTAGGTTAGGTTAGGTTAGGTTAGGTTAGGCTAGGTTAGGTTAGGTTAGTTAGGTTAGTTAGGCTAGATTAGGTTAGGTTAGGTTAGGCTAGGTAGATTAGGCTAGGTTAGGTTAGGCTAGGTTAGGTTAACTTAGGCTAAATTAGGTTAGGTTAAGTTAGGTTAGGTTAGGATAGGTTAGGTTAGGCTAGGTTAGGTTAGGTTAGGTTAGGTTAGGTTAGGCTAGGTTAGGTTAGGTTAGGCTAGGCTAGGCTATGTTAGGTTAGGTTAGGTTAGGTTAGGTTAGAATGGTTGGAGCAACTACTGAAAGCATTGCAGAAATACAATTTCACTGTAAATTTACAAAAATGTGACTTTGGTAAAGCCCAGATTAAATAATTCGGTTTCAAAATAGGGAAGGGACTAGTAGCCCCCGACCAATTAAAGGTCCAAGCTATTTTAAATTTTCCAATGCCTCAGGACAGGAAAACCCTCCAACAGTTTTTGGGGATGGCTACTTTTATTTATTTAATAATTTGAACATGATACAAAGAAGTACAAAGAAATACATTAGATTAGGTTAGGCTAGGCTAGGCTAGGTTAGGTTAGGTTAGGTTACGCTATGTTAGATTAGGTTAGGTTAGGTTAGCCTAGGCTAGGTTAGGTTAGGTTATGCTATGTTAGATTAGGTTAGGTTAGGTTAGGCTACTCTAGGCTAGGCTAGGCTAGGTTAGGTTAGGTTAGGTTTTGTTATCGTTAGCTAAGTCAATTAAAACGTACATTAACATTAATAAGTTTATTAATAACTAAAGGGGGGAAGAATGCATTCATTTTGTAAAACCTTCATTTAAAATGTTTCCCGCCCCGGGATTTTTAAACTTCAAATACAAAGTTAAAAGACCGAAATATATCCAATGAAGTAAGTGCAATGTGCCCAAAACCTTCCTTAAAGTTGTCCCCAGTCTTTTTCCCTTTTTTTCCCCTGGGGAATAATAATCATAAAGGGGGAATGCGTAATACTAAAGGTAAGCGGTCTTCATAACAAAACATGACTGAACGATGGTAAATGATTTCAATCTTTTTAAAATAAAGACTGGGTGACTATCTTCAAATTACACATTTTTGTATGATAGACTGGGTGACTGCTGTGTTTTATTGTCCATGTAAAGCCCCTGGTGAGTGAAAACATAGCATCGTAAAAATATTATAAGTTAAATTATCGAATGAACGGATTGTTACAGGAAACCTTATTCCAAAAAATTTTTTGTTTTATTTATGTTCACGCAGCAAAAAAAAATAAATTAGTTTATAAAAGTTTTAAATAAAAATTCTGAAGTCAATATTATATATATATATTTTTATATATATATATATATATATTAATTATATATATTTTTTATATATATATATTTATAATATATATAATATTTATATATGAGTATTTGATGAAGGGGCTCAGTGGCCAGCGGCAGAGTGGCTCCTTTTCCCCCGACGGTCTTGCGGCAGAGTGGCTTCCCCCAAAAGGGGCGGTGAGTGGTCCTTTTCCTGGGGGCCCTTTTTACACCTATTAATGATCTTGCCTCGCCCCCGAGACCACCCCCTCGAGACCACCCCACCCTGAGCCCCCTCACCCCCAAACCCCCCCCCCGACCCCACCCGGCCCCCCCGCCCCCCCCAACCCGGGGCCCCCCACCCGCCCCCCCCCTTCGTGCCCCCCACCCGCCCCTGCCCTCGCGCGGGCCCCCCCGCTGCCCCCCTCACGCCCCCCCGTCCCCCTAACGCCCCGTCCGCCCGTCCCTTTCCTGGGCCCTGCCCGCGCCTTCTGCGGCCCCTTTTCTGCAGCTTTTCTTTCCGGATCGCCCCCCCCCCTTTCCCCAAATTTTTTTTCCCCGATTTTTTTTTTAAATTTTTTTTTTAATTTTTCCTTGTGCTCTCCCAAATTCAAGATTTTGGGGCCCCCCCCTCCCCCCACTTTCACCCCCCCCCCCCCAAATTTTTTTCAAAATTTTTTTTCCCCTCGTAATAAAAAGACCCCCAAATTTCCCTTTTTTTTTTTAAATTTAAAATTTTCTCGATATCAATAATACAAAGTTTTCCCCCCCCCACCATCCACTTCCCCCTCTATGTCCAAGTTTTTCCCCCTCCATCTCCTCGGATCAATTTTTTTGGGATTCCCCCTCTGGGTATAAGCATTCAAATAAACCCCCACTTGCACCCCAATTTTTTTTTCTCTTTTTAATAAAAAGACTCTTTTTCCCCTTGAATCAAGGTTTTTCTCGAAATAAAAAGCCCCAATTCCTGGGATAAAATTTTTTCCCGAAACCCAAAAGTCTCCATCTCCCTTGGGTTTAAGGGTTTTCCGATAATCCCAAAGCCCCCCACTCCTTGGATCAATTTTTGGATTCCCCCCTATGAGGGGTTCGAAATTTTCTTGTGTCTCCTGGATCAATTTTTTTTTTCTCAATAATCCCAAACTCCATCTCCTGGGATCAAATTTTTTGGTTTCCCCCCTCGGGGGGGAAGCTTTTCAAATAAAATCCCCCTTGGGGGCAGGGTTTACTTTCCCCTTTACTACAGGCCCTAAACAAGTGTGACTCCCCCCCATCTGTGTTTACTGGCGGTCTTGACGTCACGGGGTTGACCTCACACATACGGGCTAAATTTCGTCGACTTCCCCCTATGTCGTTTCGGGATGCGAAAGACCCCCAAAACACACAGGCTGAATCTTGTCGACTTTTTTCCCCCCACACATTTTTCCTCTCAAACCCCGGTTAAACCAAATAATTTCACATTTTTTTTCGTTAATACCCCCAAAAATCCCAATTTCTTTACAAATAAACTTAAAAAAGGCCCACAAATTTTTTTCGTTTTTAAATATTTTTAAACCCCAGGGGCACTCCCCCGAATAACCCTTTTTTCTCCCCCTCCCCCACCCCCCCCGAACCCTCCACCCAACCCAACACCTCACAATTTTCATCATAACCCCCCAATTTTTTTCCCCTTTTAATTTTCATCAGAAAGTCACAAACCAAACACTTTTCCCGTTAAAATTCCCCTAGTCAAAATTTTAAAATTTACGAGTTAATACGCAACAAAACCCTCATTTTTGAACACCTTCAAAACACTCTCATAAAACATTTTAAACTAAAAAATCCTTTAACATTTTAACAACACTGAAAAAAATTTTTTTTTTTGTATCCCAAATAAAATTTTCGTTTTTAGACTTAACATTTCATTAAATTCAAAACCCCCCCCAAACCCCCTCAGCAAAATTTTTAAAATTATACAAAAACAACTCCCTTTTTGAAATAAACCCAAAAACACCAAAAAATATGCCCCCCAAAAAATTTGAATATCCCGAACCCCTTTAATACCTTAAACATTTTAAACCTCAAAAAATTTTTTTTTTAAAACCCCCAAAAACCAAATTCCCTAAATAATATTAAAAAATTTTAATTTCCTAAAAAAAAAAATATTAAACTAAATAAAAACAAAAAACCCCCCAACAAAAAAATTTTAAAAAATTTTTTTTAAAAACTTTTTTTTCCTTTTTTTTAAAATTTAAAAGGGGAAAAATCCCCCAAAAAAAAAACCCCAAAAAACCTTTTTTTGGGAAAAAACCCCCCCCCCCAAAACCCCCCCAAAAAAACCCCAAAAAATTGGTTTTTTTTAAAAAATTTATAAAAAAAAAAAAAAACCCAAAATTTAAATTTTTTTTTATTGAAAAAAAAAATTTTCCCCCCAAAAAAAAAAAAAAATTTTTTGTTTAAAATTTCTTTTTAAAAATAAAAAAAATTTTTAAAAAAAGTTTTTTTTAAAAAAAGGAAAAATTTTTAAAAATTTTTTTTAAAAAGGGTTTAAAAAAATTTTTTTTTTTTTTTTTAAAGGGTTTTTTAAAAATTTTTTAAAAAGGGAAAAAAAATTTTTTTTTAAAAAAAAAAAAAAAATTTGGGGGTTTTTTTTTTTTAACCCTTTTTTAAAAAAACCCCCCTTTTAAAAACCCCTTAAAAATTTTTTTTTTTCCCCCAAAAAACCCCCTTTTTTGAACCCCCCCAACCCCCCCCCCAAAAAAAATTTTCCCCCCCCCAATTTGGGAAAAAAAAAAAACCCAAATTCCCCTTTTTTTTAAAAAAAAGGGGGAAAACCCCAAGTTCCTAAAAAAAAAAAACCAATTTTTATAATTATTCATACAAAAATCACGATCACCAATTCCATATCATGT